TATTCTTATTTGCTCGTTCTATATTTACTAAATATTTATCTTAGGTTGTATATTATACTAAATTCTATTAACTGATGATGCTTGTTAAGAATTTGTCCAAATACTTGAATATATCACATATTGTCTGTTTTCCCATTAACTGAAACACATCAATTGTTAATTTTTTCTGCTATGTTCTCATATGTTATACACTAATTGTTTCTTTTCGTTCTTTGGTATAGTTCTTTATGTCATTACACATATTCTCTTGTTCTTCTTGCTTTCTTCTTCTTCTTCTACCTTCGGTGGTTATTGTCATTGAATAAACTGAACTCACGTTCACAAAAAACTACAAAATTTACCATATCAATCTAGTTGACGTGGAACCATTCTCCTTTTCTTCTATAAAAAAAAATAAAAATGATTCAATTACTGATAAAAGTAGTATTCATTTAATGAGCAAAATGAATTTTTAAATAAGCAAACTGAATTAATTACTGATATTTTTATTTTAATATTAAACAAATTATTAATTTACTGAGCAAACATAATAGTTACAGAATATTAAATTTGATAGTGATAGTCTGATTCGTTTACTGATAATTTGTATATAATACTGAGCATTTAATTTGTTCTCCTTTTATTTGTATAGCTCGTTATCATGTCTTCTTCTCATCTATACCACTATAAATAAAACACAGTTCTGTATCTCACCGTTTGTTCCAATTGAAAGGTTAATGTGATGTCTCATTCTGAAAGTATATATATTTCTCGAAACAACACTCCAAAGAATGATTTGCTGACGTAGCAAGAATTTTGCTGAATGGAAAGGACAGAAACACGTATGGGCTTAAGTTGTTTATGGAGGGCGAAGGCTTAAACTACAGGTCTACCGCTGGCTACACCACTGGAATGAATCTTCTGCTCCTCGAACAGTAGAGAGCAACGTGTATCTCAGGCACATACTGCTCATATACAATTGAGGAATAGAGACGATAACATATCATACGAGACATATGCAAAATGGCAGGACGTACGTTATAGGAGAGAGATAGAGAATGCATGGCTAGAAGTATAATAGTTAAAGGATAGTGCTTAAAGAAAAACGTCCATGCAGTATGCATGAACCATAGCTAGTTTCTACCAAATGTCATCATGTCACAAGTGAGTTTGTCAAATAACCAGAAAAACATGGGTAGTATGGCAGTGTTCTTCGATCTTGAGAAAAATCCATCCAAGATAGTGTGAACGATGATAATTATTAGTTTTTTCTATTTCTCGGTGGTAGAACAGCGTCCGGCCTGTTTCACTCTTGATTACACCACTAAGGTGAATAATGCAATCCAAAGTTTCAAATCATAAAGCTGATTTGTTCAAGAAAGTTTCAAAGAACAGGAGATACCTTCGTTTTTTCGCAGCTCTTTCGTAAGCTGCTGATTTTTTTACTGTTTAGTGAGAGTGAAATTACAATTGAATTCAGAATCACACCTTTCACAAGACAACGAACTCTGAGATGAAAATATATTATCTGAATGGCGTAAGCTTAATACAAATAGTATAGCCGTAGCTACCGTTAAATAATGCCCAAGAAGGATCAAAGTCGAAGAAGAACGGTAGATCACTAGCAGTGAATACAAACAAATGAAAAAAAAAACTATATAAAAATGCGAGAAGCGCATGTTTATGTTTCTCTTTTACTGCAATGATCACTGATGTATATATCGTTTTTCTTTCGTCTTAACAAAAAAACAAACAAGTAGTCAGGTAAAAGAGTCGGTATACAACGCCTTTTCTCGAAAAGAAAAAAGATGCACTGGTTGACTCTCTCTAACATTAATGAAACACGTCCAGGCAGTAATGATTAGTTATCGTTACCAAAAAAAGTTACTTTACCTGGTACCTAGTAACTATTGAGTATTCACACTGTAATGATGAAGGGAGAAAATCAATTAAATTTTTTTAACATTTACAAGAAAAATTCAGATAAAAGATTTCAGTAAAATATGATTTTTGATTTTTTTTATTTCATCCAATAATTCTAAAATTTACCACTTAGTGTTGCATCTCGTTTTATATTTATTGTACTACTTTATTTAAAAAATGATTGATTAACTGTGCACTCGTCAAAAATGACAAATAAAAATTGTTTATAAATATTTCAAATGGTTTTTTCTTAGCAAATAGAAGTTATTCATAAGAGAAAATGTAACATAAACATGATTAATTTGAGAAAAAAAACAAAATAATTAATAAAAATCCAAATCTTAACTTGAAAAGACGTTGTGAAAAGCTTCTAAAATAAATAAAAAATAATTTGACAATTATTTTAATTTTAATTGATTAGAAAAGAAAGTCAGCTCTTTACTCTGTACAGATTTTTGATTGTCTTTAAACATTTCGAATTTTTTATTAAAAATTTTCAATACATTCAATTGAACAGAGATAAGCATTCTTTGTAATTTGACAATTTATTTCGGGTGTGCGTGTGGGTGCGAGAGAGACTTTAGTAAACAGGGACACCCACACCCTGAGAGCATCATATCTTAAATTTCAACGAAAATAAAGCTTTTTTTTCCCAAATATTTATTTAGTTATATAACAATGAATTAACGTGAAGATAGTAACCCAGGTTAAAGTCGATCGAAACAAACCAAATTGCTCAAATTTTTAAAATGCGTTGTCCGGTTCTCAATAATTTCTCCGTTATCAATATTGAATACAATAAAATGACTTTTATTTTAATTTGTTGTACTCCATAGTGTTATCCATAAACGTTTATTCGTATTCATTATGTACGTTGTCGACCAGATATATTTTTCAAACGGAATTTCGCTTTTCCCAATACGATCAAACTGAATTTCATATTTTGCTGTAATGATGATTTGAGCTAAAATCCAGCCGTTTGTCGTTGAACGTGAATAAACTAGAGCAATTAGAGTATCATTCGTAGAATCATAGTCGATTCCATATATTGTATAATCCATTGGAATTCGAATATTGACATCTAATTTTCCTGTATCAATATTGATACCATACAATGTCGAATCAATAACATTATAATACAATCGACGTTTCGATGCATAGACCATTACAAAACTAAATGAACCATCTGGATATATTCCAATAGTTTCCATGAGACCTGTTGTCCGATTAATTTTTGCTACTTCTAAACTTAATCCACCACTTGCGCTTTCTCGGATACCAATAATGTCATCAACATCATCATTCGCTACTGCTATTTGAGAAAAGTCTCCATAATCATGTTTTTCGATTAATGTTAAATTAAGTTCAATCGATTTGGTTTGTATATCAATTATTAGTAGAAAAAAATGAAGTACAC